TTTTTTTACTCGAAAACCTTGACTGGAAAATATTATGAAAACATGCGGGGATCGGATTATTCGGTGGGATGTGTGGAATTCATTATTTTTCCGAGGTTCGATGGGGAAAGAAATCTGTCTTCTTTTACATTCAAAGCATGACTGAATCGTGATGGATTTTTCAGGGTACCGCTTTGGAAAATTCTTCGATTTCTTTTTTTCATCCCTTTTTCACTGATCGAAGAAGGCATGGCAATAACCCGCTGCGAACAACATCAAACAAACACCCGACAGCTCCTAGGTTCCTCTGGTCTATTTTTCTCGCCTCGGGCAACGTTCATATGGAAATCCCCACGGGAATGACGGCGAAGGAATAGCTTTATAATGCCCTTCTCTCCCGAGTATTTTACTCCGTTTTCCTCCTCTTTTTTCCTAGTGTTGCTCTGGGGTCTGGGGAGAATCTTTTCCTGGAGATTTTTCTTTTTTTGCAGGGCATTAACTGCATAAGCGTGAGCCTAGCGCCCAGTCAAGAGAGGAATTCATACGGGAATGAAAAACTGTTCTCTGGAAAGTCAGTGTGAAAACTGGGATGTTCCAGAATGCCCCCGGGGATAGGTGGGCTACTTCCGGGAACTATTTTCTGTGTGATGGTCGAGGGCATGCTTTTCTAGAGCGCATGGTTTTCTCTATTACCGGAATATCTGATTTTCAGAAAAGGTTTGTGTGTTTCACACAGAGGAAAGTTGATATATTTCTTCTGTTCCCACGTTTTAGAGAACTAAAAATTCTGATTTCATAACATTCGAAATTCTTTGGGGAAAATACTTGTATGAAATATATATTCATTGAGTTCAAAAAAAATTTTCTGGGACAGAATGTCAAGATTTTTGACTGTTTTTGAGACGAGAAGAATAATTTCAATGTTTACGAAGGTTTTAAAATATCTACATCACTCACACTACATAATTTGATTCAGAATTTTCACAATTTCCAATAAACTTGGGTTCATCCATGCGAATAAATATGAAAACTCTTCATCCTGTTCATTCATTGAAGCAATATTTATTATTTTCAATCTCTGTTCGACATCGTGCATTTCCAATTCATGCATGCATTTAAATTTGAAGAATTGTAAAATAATACAGTATAAATCATATTTTCCGGTGGAGTCGCTCAAATGAAACTTGTCGAAATGCATGTCAACGATAAAAGTGCCTAATCACAAATTGATGGGATTTGAAGAAACTGTCACATTTGAAAGAAATGTCCCCTGTTCGGATTTTCAACAATTTGGTAATCCCAATTTCCTCTTCATTCGAATACATAATCTTCGATGGAAAACAACTTTTTGATCAAACACCTGCAAACATCTTCGCCCTGCGAGATTTCTGAGACGTAGTTTACTGCCATTCCAAGCAATTAGTGGCCGTATTCGTTATGTGCACCATGATCATCCGACCGGAGGCGGGAATGAAATATTCATGAATGCTTTAGCAGAAGTAGTCGTCAGGGAGAGGGAACCCGAATTGCATGATTACATGGTTGAGCAGAGTGAGTGTTCCACGGGTTCCCAAATTAGGCAGACACCAGGACCTGGTAATTCATTCAGAAACTTCAGCAATTATTTTACGACGATGCTGCTTAAAGACATATAAGCAGCGGTTCGTGGAATTGAGAGCCTGAGTGACGCTTTGCTTCAAAAACTTCAAAGAAGGAACGAAATGGAGAGATGTTATCATCAAACAAGGGATTTGCACTGATTCTTCTTTATGTTCCCTTCTCTGTTCGNATGCCCCCGGGGATAGGTGGGCTACTTCCGGGAACTATTTTCTGTGTGATGGTCGAGGGCATGCTTTTCTAGAGCGCATGGTTTTCTCTATTACCGGAATATCTGATTTTCAGAAAAGGTTTGTGTGCTTCACACAAAGGAAAGTTGATAGATTGCTTCTGTTCCCACGTTTTAGAGAACTGAAAATTCTAAGTTTACAACATTCGAAATTCTTTGGAGGAAATACTTGTATGAAATATATATTCATTGAGTTCAAAAAATGTTTTTCTGGGACAGAATTTCAAGATTTTGGACTGTTTTTGAGACGAGAAGAATAATTTCAATGTTTACGAAGGTTTTAAAATATCTACATCACTCACACTACATAATTTGATTCAGAATTTTCACAATTTCCAATCAACTTGGGTTCATCCATGCGAATAAATATGAAAACTCTTCATCCTATTCATTCATTGCAGCAATATCTATTATTTTCAATCTCTGTTCGACATCGTGCATTTCCAATTCATCCATGCATTTAAATTTGAAGAATTGTAAAATAGTACAGTATAAATCATATTTTCCGGTGGAGTCGCTCAAATGAAACTTGTCAAAATGCATGCCAACGATAAAAGTGCCTAATCACAAATTGATGGGATTTGAAGAAACTGTCACATTTGAAAGAAATGTCCCCTGTTCGGATTTTCAACAATTCTATAATCCCAATTTCCTCTTCATTCGAATACATAATTTTCGATGGAAAACAACTTTTTGATCAAACACCTGCAAACATCTTCGCCCTGCGAGATTTCTGAGACGTAGTTTACTGCCATTCCAAGCAATTAGTGGCCGTATTCGTTATGTGCACCATGATCATCCGACCGGAGGCGGGAATGAAATATTCATGAATGCTTTAGCAGAAGTAGTCGTCAGGGAGAGGGAACCCGAATTGCATGATTACATGGTTGAGCAGAGTGAGTGTTCCACGGGTTCCCAAATTAGGCAGACACCAGGACCTGGTAATTCATTCAGAAACTTCAGCAATTATTTTACGACGATGCTGCTTAAAGACATAAGCAGCGGTTCGTGGAATTGAGAGCCTGAGTGACGCTTTGCTTCAAAAACTTCAAAGAAGGAACGAAATGGAGAGATGTTATCATCAAACAAGGGATTTGCACTGATTCTTCTTTATGTTCCCTTCTCTGTTCGCGGAAAATGTCTCGAGTGTTGACTCGAAAATCGTGTTCGTCTACACTCAGATAAGAAGACAATAAACTGAAGGGTTTGCTGGACCTATATTCCTAAAGGTGCTCAGCACCGTTGATAAACGTGCGTTAAGTCTTCGTTTATGAGAACCGCTTGAAAACTCACAGGCAAACATCAAAACAAATCCGGCTAAATCGATGTCTGCTCGCAGAAATAGTTTTCGCGCAAAACCATTCATGTGAAATTATTTCCATTTGATAATTTAAATAATGCTTCAGCTGATACTTCAAATAATTTTGGAACAAAAAAATCCTAAAACACGGGCTCCAATATTCCGCTGGAATTCATCATACCCTTTTGTTTCTAATTAGAAACACTACTTTCACGCATTCCCCACTTAACATAAATAATCTCAGCGTTAAATCTGTCTAAAATTGAATTTTGAAGCCACATAAAATATCGACGATTCACAAAAATTTATCATAAGCCTTGCAGAACAAAAATGAATGTAATAAAATATTCATGCCTAATCCCACCCGATTTTGAATGTTGTTGCTTTGTAAAATGCGAAAAATATTTAAAAATTTATTATAAAAAATATGTAATTTTGTTCCTTGCCTGCCTATATTCAGTTCTCCAGATTTGCTACTGATTCACGAAGATCTACGGACAAGAGGAAATGCTGCGTTTGTCATCTGCCTGGGAAAATTTGGAATACTGTACTATATTTCATAGTACAGTGCTGTATAGTAATAGGAACTTACTCAGATAACGTAAATCAAGAATTTAAGTAGGGTGGTTTTCCTTCGTTGAGTTGAGCATGTATTTTTTGAAATTGTTATCGATATTTACGCAACGATATACAGCCTTTATTTCGAGGAAAAAACATTCGCACGACATATTCGACAGTTTTTAACATTGAAAAAAAAAGCATACGATAACAAATTAAAAACTAAGCACACTTCGATAAGACTCCGGTGAAGAATTTCCGGTGAATTTTGGTTCACTACAAAGTCAACAACATCTTGGACTATCATAAGTCGTAATCTAAGACGCAGACACTTTCAACGGTCTTCCAAGAGATTCAACCTTTTCAACGGGTCAATTTTCCTGCCGTGAAGTTCACATTCCCCGAGGGTGAAGAAAACTTCCCGTGGTGAGAGTTGGCGGAAACCGACGAAAGTTGCAAGCCAAATCGAGTCAAGCGAGCCGTAATGACAAAGCGAAACTTTTGACAAAGCAGGGGCACAGAAAAACCGCTGGAAGTTTACGTTACTCCATTACTTACCCCATTTACTTCACTTTTATACCCACAGACCAGGTTGAGGCCTGTTTCTCGCCCACCGAATCACTTTGAAAAGGGGTTCTTGAGAGAAGAGCAGGGAAGGGTTTGAATCATGGGACTGAACAACCCGGACGTCGGGTTCGGACACTCGGCATCCGAGCGCGCTTCGTCGCTCTTTGAAACCTGGCCGTTTTCAGCTCTGCAATCCCGTGAACATGACCCCAATGGCAGTTTTTATTTGCAACAGTCACACAACAAGGTCAAGCTATTTCATGGTTTTTAATGCAAAAAATTTAACCCGATTAAGGCGCACGAATCGATCGTTTTTACGCTTGCTTGTTCAGCTTAGAACGCCTGTCTGACTCTGTTGATGAACACCACATTTCTTGGAAAGTTTTGGTTTCTACAAGCTTAAACTTCGTATGAAAATGAGAAAAATTAAATTTTCAATACATACATGCCTTTTTGGCAATCACGAGGCCTCGTCTGTTTCTCGCGAGAAGTGAAGGAATTGCCTATAGCTATATTTGCTTTCAAATGCAAGTGAAATCAGCTATAGCCCAACAGTATCAGCTGTTGACAGCATTATCTGTAATTTTCAAAAAAAGAATTGAAACTTAGTTGGCCAGAAATGCGTATGATAGTCTGACATCGACGCGGGCAATGCAATTTTTTTCTTCATATGCATATACCTAAGTCACAATAACAAGAATGCGTAGTCTTTTTTCAAAAGGAAGCTTAATGTCTGATTAATTAAGCTTAGACTGTTTTTATTTTCCCAACTATTATTTTGATCGCTCACTCGATCAGCATTTGTATTCAAGTTGAACTCAGCAATGCCCTCAGAACCACGTTTCTTCACCCACGCATCTATAGGCTAGCCTTGTGTGAATAGATCCAGCAACATAACGAGTTCTTTCTTCTTAAGAACACCCAGAGATGCCCTGCAACCCTCTTACTCGTACCCTGTATATTCCTTGTCATTTATATATATTCTTCAGAGTGTGCCTTGAGAAGAGCCTAGAACTTCGGTCACTGCTGATAACTTGTTCTGCTCAGATATTCTCGGTGCAGTCCTTAGTTTTGTATGATTAAACATTTTTGTGGCATCTCCGAAATTTGAATTCTTCCTCCTAAATGTAATTAAATACGATTTTCCTTCATTTTTGTTTATACGCTGTACTGTAATATGTTTCTTGGTCAACATTTTGTAGCTCGTGAATATTTCCTGCATCAGCTCTTTATTTGATCTATTTATTGGACTAATGAAAGTATCTGTCTCCTTATGCAGATTAATTACAACGATTACCGCAAGAGCAGCATTTAAAATACACAAGAAGTCCAATTTCCAAAAATTTTGAAATATATTTGTTGATCCTTGTCACCAACACGTTTCGCCAAAAATAATTCAACCATTTGCAGCCAGAAAGACGAGCTAAATTCTCAAACTGCGCCCATCATCAGTTATTAACATGTAAAAAATCAAATTTGGTCCATAGCATATACTGTATACAGTGAGACCCCAAGATGCGGACGTAATTGGTGCATCAAGAGTGTCCCTAAGTTGAAATGTCCCAAAGTTGAGTCTCATGATCCCTAAGACATACATTATATAATTTAATTGGTTCTTTATGGACAAAATACTCACCATAATTCCATGAAAATAAAAATCATCTCCCATTTTAAACTGCTGATGCAATCAATATATTTCAGCTCAATATGGGCATTTTGGGAATTTAATACTGACACTTGTGCACAGTACATAAAAATGTTGGCATTCTCTCTAAAAATAATATTTGAGTGAAAAAGAGTAAAGGAATTCCCTCTCTGCAGGAGGTTTTTTTAATTAGCTAAATGGATGGTAATTTGGTGAGAAAAATGCCCAAGAGCTTTTCTTACATCAATTTTAGGGTTGGAAATACTGTATCTGTTTATAAATTTGGCCTGAAATGTTTTTGCAATTTTTGAACAAAATGTCCCTATGTTGAGCCAGTGTCCTCATGTCAGGCCTTTGTAATTAATTTTTTATGATAAAATAAGTGTCCCTATGTCGAATTGTCCGAAGCTCGAGGTGTCCGCATGTGGGGGTCTCACTGTAATTAGAAATCATGGAAATCTAATTAGCTAATGCCATGGACTTAACGAGTCCGTCCGAGATAACTCCCGAATAAAAAATGTCTTTTCATTCCCACCATGTTCTTCCCAGAATTGGAATTTTTCCCTCAGAACTCGAAATTAAATTAAGAAACCAACCCACATTACCGAATTTTATCAAAATACTGTATGCCTACGATTACTCAAGGAAGAAAATGACTGACAAACGAGTACACCGTATTAACTGCTACAGTACTTGTAAGAATTAAGTCCAGTTGCGGTTGTTGCTCAAGGCCACACTATTACAAGCAAGATTCCATGGTGATAATTTAGTCTTAACCCCCATAACCTGAGCAGAAGCAGGCGGAAGTGGAGTACCCGGATACGGGCGTGTTCAACAGCCCCGTGGTGTCGGCGGCGCTGTCGAGTCACGCCATCTCCCCGCGGTTCCTAGGTGCCAGCCCCTCGACACTCCTCACGCCCGTGGCTCCAATGCCCGCTGGCGCCGGTGTGCACATGCACCCGGTTCGACACCGACTTCCGCCTCACCCAGCTGACTTCGACACGACATCGGCGGCGAGTGTCACGCGGCTGGGCGCGGCCATGATGAGCCTCGGCGCCCACGCGAACCTGCTGACGGCGCCTGCCAAAAACTATGTCCAGGAAAACCCTCGGATTCCCACCAACTATTACGTTAAGGTGTCCATTACTTGAATGAGTTCGCCACACGTTCTGATGTCGCATTATCGCCAACAAAACCNGTTCGGACACTCGGCATCCGAGCGCGCTTCGTCGCTCTTTGAAACCTGGCCGTTTTCAGCTCTGCAATCCCGTGAACATGACCCCAATGGCAGTTTTTATTTGCAACAGTCACACAACAAGGTCAAGTCATTTCATGGGTTTTAATGCAAAAAATTTAACCCGATTAAGGCGCACGAATCGATCGTTTTTACGCTTGCTTGTTCAGCTTAGAACGCGTTGACACTTCCTGTCTGACTCTGTTGATGAACACCACATTTCTCGGAAAGTTAGGGTTTCTACAAGCTTAAACTTCGTATGAAAATGAGAAAAATTAAACTTTCAATACATACATGCCTTTTTGGCAATCACGAGGTCTCGTCTGTTTCTCGCGAGAAGTGAAGGAATAATTGCCTATAGCTATCTTTGCTTTCAAATGCAAGTGAAATCAGCTATAGCCCAACAGTATCAGCTGTTGACAGCATTATCTGAAATTTTTTTAAAAATTGGAACTAAGTTGGCCTGAAATACGTATGATAAAGTCTGACATCGACACGGGCAATGCAATTTTTTTCTTCATATGCATATACCTAAGTTGTAATGACAAGAATGCGTAGTCTTTTTTCAATAGAAAGCTTAATGTCTGATTAATTCAGCTTAGACTGTTTTTATTTTCCCAACTATTTTTTTGATCGCTCACTCGATCAGCATTAGTATTCAATTTCAACTCAGCAATGCCCTCAGAACCACGTTTCTGCACCCACGCATCTATAGGCTAGCCTTGTGTATAGATCCAGAAACATAGCGAGTTCTTTCTTCTTAAAAACACCCAGAGATGCCCTGCAACCCTCTTACTCGTACCCAGTATATGACTCGTCATTTATATATATTCTTCATAGTGTGCCTTGAGAAGAGCCTATAGAATTTCGGTCACTGCTGATAACTTGTTCTGCTCAGATATTCTCGGTGCAGTCCTTAGTTTTGTATGATTAAACATTTTTGTGGCATCTCCGAAATTTGAATTCTTCCTCCTAAATGTAATTAAATACGATTTTCCTTCATTTTTGTTTATACGCTATAATGTAATTTGTTTCTTGGGTCAACTTTTTGTAGCTCGTGAATATTTCCTGCATCAGCTCTCGATTTGATCTATTTATTGGACTAATGAGAGTATCAGTCTCCTTATGCAGATTAATTACAACGATTACCGCGAGAGCAGCATTTAAAATACACAAGAAGTCCAATTTCCAAAAATTTTGAAATACATTCGTTGATCCTTGTCACCAACACATTTCGCCAGAAATAATTCAACGATTTTCCACCAGAAAGACGAGCTTAATTCTCAAACTGCACCCGTCACAAGTCACATTTACAAGTAAAAAATCAAATCTGGTCCATAGCATATACTGTATAATTAGAAATCATGGAAATCTAATTAGCTAATGCCATGGACTTAACGAGTCCGTCCGAGATAACTCCGGAATAAAAAATGTCTTTTCATTTCCGCCATGTTCTCAGAAATGGAATTTTTCCCGCTGCACTCGAAATTAAAAAAAGAAATCAACCAACATGACGGAATTTTATCAAAATACTGTATGCCTACGATTACTCAAGGAAGAAAATGACTGACAAACGAGTACACCGTATTAACTGCTACAGTACTTGTAAGAATTAAGTCCAGTTGCGGTTGTTGCTCAAGGCCACACTATTACAAGCAAGATTCCATGGTGATAATTTAGTCTTAACCCCCATAACCTGAGCAGAAGCAGGCGGAAGTGGAGTACCCGGATACGGGCGTGTTCAACAGCCCCGTGGTGTCGGCGGCGCTGTCGAGTCACGCCATCTCCCCGCGGTTCCTAGGTGCCAGCCCCTCGACACTCCTCACGCCCGTGGCTCCAATGCCCGCTGGCGCCGGTGTGCACATGCACCCGGTTCGACACCGACTTCCGCCTCACCCAGCTGACTTCGACACGACATCGGCGGCGAGTGTCACGCGGCTGGGCGCGGCCATGATGAGCCTCGGCGCCCACGCGAACCTGCTGACGGCGCCTGCCAAAAACTATGTCCAGGAAAACCCTCGGATTCCCACCAACTATTACGTTAAGGTGTCCATTACTTGAATGAGTTCGCCACACGTTCTGATGTCGCATTATCGCCAACAAAACCTGTTGCCAATCACAATATCCAGACCCCCCCCCCCTTGCGAACGTTAACACGAAAACCGATTCGCATATTTCTATTTGAACTCAAAGACTCATTAAAGACACAAGAAAGAAAACTCTCTGCACACGTAAAATATTTTTTTTCAAACATTACGTTTGGAAGATGTCAAGGACAATATTTTAGAACCCTATTATATCACGTGTGTTATCCACATGGGGCAATATTGAAGAACAAACTTTAAATGCCTAAGTTAATGCAATGAAAAAGTTTATTGCATTTGGTTATTGCTGTAAAATTCTAAAAATGCAGAGGAAATATCTTCTTCTATTCACATTGGTTTGAAATAAAACGAATAATTTTCAAGTTGGACCGGAATAAGAATCAGTACTGACTAGTTTTCTCGTACCTCTTCCTTGTTCTCTCACGTGTCTGCGGTCACTAAAAGAGAATATCCGGGATTTTTGGAGTAACCCTGGGAGATTCTAAAATTAAGAACGACGACATGCTTTTAAGCTATCTAGTGTAGCAGATGTTCACTTATTCATGCTACTTTTACAACTTGTGTTAATTGGATTTGGTTATTGTTCTAAAAAATATAGTACAATACAATAACTTCGTTTATACCCATCTGTGGGAAATTTCAGGAATAATTGTTACGTTGAAATAGCAAGAGAAGCACAAAAGTGAGTCAGAGATGTGTTCTGGTAACCTTTTTTTCTCTCTGTTGCTGTGTCTGGTTGCAAAATAACAAAAATAGAATCCCACTTCCGGTGCGTTCATGCCGGTGTTGGCGCAGTCGTCGCGAGTGGGAAGTTTGACCGGTTTCCCGAACCCGGAAGCAAAGCCGTCACAGAGCTACGGTGTCGGGATTGTCGAAGACGGTGATGACGATCGTCGTTACAGCCGCACGTGGCCCTACACCGCCAAGTCTCCGAGCATTATCGAGTTTGACACACGCGCCTCGCCCAGTTTTTCTGGAACCCCGGTTTGTCATTTTAGAAATGTCACGAAAATTGAATTGATTTTCAGAGTGAGCGAAACACTTAGTTAGTCTTTCAGAAGCGAAACCAAAGTACTGTACGTCCATAAGGTTTTGTAAAATGTTATTCCTTTGAACCGTACCTCAAACTGAAGCTCAAATGAACACGAATTTTCGCCTTGTACGTAATGTGTACAAATGTATGAGCAACGATTAAAGACGGTACTGTTCGGAGTCTTCCCATTACTGTGGATCACCACAAGGATGATGATCGCTGAAATCCTCCACGAAAATGATGAACTGCAGAAAAATGCCATTTTCTGCAGATTTCTAGGCAGCACAGCGCAGCTGCGGTCGCTGCCCGACAACGCGTCTCCGACATTCGCAACAACACACGAACCAGTCCAAGCAATACTCAAACAAGACAGCAAAGTAAACAACCAACCCACACTGTTCCTCTAGTTGGCGCTTGGACGATCAATCGGTGGTTATCAGTGATGTCTGAAGAATCCTCTACTGCTTTCATGGTCTGGTCTATTCACCCGTATTCGACCCGAAAGCGCGAACACGCTCTTCACCCCGGTCGACTCATGTTCAGCCAACCATTCACCACAACCAGGCAAATTCGATTCGTATTTTTACTAAAGTTGAATCTCTTTAAAGTAAAACCTCGAGGGGCCAATAAAAATTCGAGTTAGGGAGGTTTCGAGTTAAGGAAACGAGCAATTGTAGGAGGATAGAAAGAATTGCGGGGAATTTAATTGCCGATATTGTGGAACTCACATTGCTACGAGTTGACGCGATGCTGAACTTGGATGTGAGGGTTCTTTTGCCAAAGTTGTTTTTCACTTCTTTTCAAAACACATAAAGTTATATATTTTATTGCCTTTTCGTGTGACAATTCAATAAAAGCCAGTGTGTATGTCCGGACAATTTGAGTTATGGAGATTTGAAGGGCGAAGGCCTTCGAAATGTGGATGTTTTAATGCATTGTTTCTGCTGAGTGAAATCAGACAGTGACTTTAAAAATTCGACATATAGTGATGCATTCAAATTAGAGAGGTTCGAGTTATTAAGGTTCAACTGCATTAATTTTCTATTTTGCCAGGACTAGAATAAATTTATTTTGTCGGAATGAATAATAATGGAAAACAATTGAAAACCTTGACGAGCGAACACTCAACCAAGCGAAAGCTTTCCGTGGTTCTGTTCAGCAAGCGCATTTCTTAAACTGACCTGATTTGATGATGATAAATTTATAATTTAAAAAATCGTGGTGTCTGTTCTGGGATCAGGGGTTACAAAATGCGTGCGATGGTCGCCCTGAATGGCACCGGGCCCTACGAAGGTCGATACATAAGCGTGTTTTGGCAACTCCTGCCATCACCCGACGACCACAACCTGTCGTGGCCCATGAAGGACACAGTCACGGTGCGGGTGTTGCCCGCGGGCACGAATGAGGCCTTCTCATCCACCTCGGTGTCGGGCCACGTTCGGAACCCCAAGTCATTTTTGCGGCCCGAGGGCAACCGTCCCACGCCGCCATGGGGATTCAAGAAGTTCATCAGCCATCAGAATTTGGAAAGCGGCCATTTCATTCAGGCCGACACGCTGTGGTTGGCGTTTGAAGTCACGGAGGCGGGCACTGGGAAGTTCGGCCAGTCCAACGCGAGGCGCCGCAAGCCGAACGAAGGGTTCATCGGCGATCTCATGTGGCGATTCTTTTACAATAAAACCTAGTTATTTTTTTCACTACTCTGAAGTGTTTTATTTACATCTTGTGCAGAAACACGAACTGTATACAGTTGTTTGAAATACTTTTTATTCATCGCGGGTAAGTTCTTAAACGCTGATGTGTTCCTTGCATCAGATCTTTAAAAAATGTTCAAAGAACTCTTATGATTTTTATATATGTGGAAATTTATGGCTGTCATCACCTCTGATGAGTCGAAGTCTCATTAAAAGCGCGCGTAAGTTTCTAAAGCGTGAACAGGAAACAATGGACCAAAACTTGGAATTGCATGAGTATATTTGCAAAAGCACAGACAAGGCAGAAAACACATTTCCGAATCAATTTTTAGGCGCATTAAACAACCTGAATCAGCTTGGAATGGACTGGAGACACTTCATGAAGTTTTTTGAATTATTTCCGTTTATTGAAGTATTATTTCCGTTTCAATTTCCACTAACAAATTTCACCGAAGTGAAAGCAGGTTTATTCCAAGGTCTGAATCAATGTGCAGGCTTAGTTTTTGAAGTCTTATCGATTTCTTATTTGGTGGCCTTCAAGGATTGATGCATTAGTGGGTGAAGTTTAGAACTTGTGATTGTCCATTAAGTTATTGAAGAAAATACATCAATGGCGGTTTATGGATATCTACAAATTTTCGAAGGAGATTTTTTTCTTAACTATTACTTTGGTTTCGCAATTTATAGTTGGTTCTTGTACTAGTGTTAATTTAAATTTGATTGGTGATATTTTGAAATTATTGCGAAGTCGCCAAAACATAAGCGTTCAGAAAAGCCGGCGCCTGAATGGAGCACATGGCAAAATCTGCACAATCATTCGGCAGAATGATTTATTTAATGGCATGTTAGAGCAGATTGAGGGTGATCGTGTATCCATAGTTTCTCTTCCATTCCGTACATATAATCACATGAATCAGCGGTTATTTGCTGATTCGGCTGTGCTGATCACTCCGATGTTTCTGATGGAACAGTGGCTTAGCTTTCAAGTAAATTGATGTTGAAATTCCACTGCTCCATATTTCGCAGAAGTCCTTTCACTGGTTTTCGAATGCGATAGTTGATTTGATGTGACGCTCCCTTTGATATCTCGTGCGGAGGACGACGTAATTAATTAACTTATTTCATGTAGGCCGCATTTGCATTCGAATGTCTCCCACGCGACTCCGGAATGGAGATTTCTGCTGGCCGCCACCCAACTATTCGTGCTTCTTCGACTGCGTTATTTGCCAGAACAGTACTTAATTTGATAATGAAAACCTCATGTTCACTTCTGTGCTGGTTTTAATTACCCGTCTTGGGATGTTCACGTCACCCCAACATTTCTCGGCGAGCGATTCGGAATTAACCTCGCACCCGTCACTTCTGTGTCAACTGAAATTTCTCAGAAATCCTAATTAAATGAGAAAGTACTTCTATTGTAGTGCGTTAAAACCGACGTCGAGTCGAGACATGATGTGACAGTTGGCCCCGCTGAATCTCGTTTGCAGCATTATTTCTCGCTTATTTCCGTCATTACTTCATCATGTGGAATTATCTTGCTGTCTGAAATTAAATAAGGTTTTTGTACAGCTGTTTCATTTTTCCTTGCTGTTCGAAGGCAAGCAGGGAAGGGAAACCAGGAGACTAAAATTTTCCATTACGGGTTCATTTTACTGAAAGCTCCTTCGTTGACGTGAGCCGGAAGAAAACGGTTTGTTACGAGTTCACGGGATATTTAAAAAATTCAAGGTGTTCACTCTGTTTAAATATGCATTGTTCTTGGAAAGAATGGAAGGACGGGGGATCACAGGAGTTATCAAATTTCCTCCCGACTTCGGGAGGCGAGAAATTGTTTTTAGAATTATAATAAAAATTTAAGTATTCAACTGTCTTGTTTCGCGAATAGTACTTCAAACAAAATAACCAATTGACAAAGCTATGTAGGTTGAAAAAATACTGATGTATATATGTATCATGCTCGTCTAATAAACTTAAATTATTCGCGGGAACCGTTTCAATTTGCTGATGTAGCCCTTTGACAAATAAAACTAAAAATAGTCATCAAGTCCTTGATATACTGTACTTCATTTTCCAGATAATTACTACGGTAAACATTTTCAATATTCAGATATTACTCTTAATTACTTGAGATTGATTTCACTATTTTCAAAATTGATTCGATTGATTCAATTGCGAATGTCTACAAAGTAATTATAAAACTTTCAACTGTTAGCCTTGTTCTTCTGGAATAATAGCAGCTTTTCGAGGGCTCAAAAATCAGTAAATCAAGATGAATTCTTTTGCACAAATTCAGATTGAATTTTTTTCTGGCCATAGAACAATTTCTTTTCACAAATTAATCTTAAAATTACGTATTGCGTATAGCAAGGGGGTTCTCACATTTCTTCGTCCGAACGAAGATTTTTTCGAAAGAAAAAAATTGATGAATTGGAATCTGCGGGTTTGAAAGAGAGATGCACAGATTTTCAATGATGGCTGATGAAGATATCGTGATGGACGAATTTTCGAATGAAAATTCGTGTGATTGTTCTTTGAAAGATTTCAAATTACACAATGTAGTTGCACTGCTGTGACTGAAAAGTTTAATTGAAAAATGGCATCAAAAATAAAGCATTGACATATTCTCCCGGTAATAAGCGAAAGATGATTGTGTTGCGGTTGTTTTAGTTTCGCCATGGTTTGAACTTCAAAAGTCATTTAAAATGTTGAAGTTGATGTTTTGAAATCTACAATTTTCTCTACATAATTTCATTTTATCCGAGATCTCACGATTACTTCGTAAATTATTGTTTTGTTCAAACGAACACTTCGTTTAATCAAGTGAAAAGTTATTCAGGTTTCGGCTTAATTTTGACGATAAGCTTGCCAAAGTTGAAAAACCAAATGGAAGAGCTCGCTTTTCATTAATTCGCCTCTTGCCGCGGGGTTTATTATCTTCTGGTCTCTTCTTGAGGGTAACTCCTGCTTATCACACGAGCCCGAATTTTCCGGGACCCGGCATGGGGTCGGGAATAGGAGAGGAACCATATCTTCTTCAACCAAGAAAGTAAATTCCTTAAGAGACACGAAAGGATGCCGTGGTTAGTGTCAACTTTTTGCTTTCCCTTGGTCTTGTTGTGGGTTGAATGCGACGTGTGTCGTGTGAGAGATACGAAAGCCTGCTGCGCATATGGGACAAATGTTCACTGGCGTATTTATGGCATGGCCTCATATGTGCAAGGGAACTGAGGCATCATATGTTGAGCTAGAAGGCAAAAACGCTGTTCATTTTCTTTCCAGCACTGAAAATTGAAAAAAATACATGCCATGAATACTACATATAAATAAAAATTCTCGAGTTTTCAGGCGCTAAGACAAATTTTTGAATAAGATATTATACCTGCCAATATACTGCAGTTATAGACCCCCGTTGAGTATGTACAGCATATATTATTTGCAGTTTTGTACTGGTGATCATAGCAGAATGTTTGAATTAGATTTCTCACAAAAAATAATGGCTCAGTGAATGAAAATGCAGGCAATCAGCATTTTGAGGCCCAGAACACATATTTAAGGGGACACCTTGAATATTTGTTCATAGTTTTGTGCTCAGTTTTATTCAGTTTTCTGAACGACAAAAAATCCCGATTTTAAAGAATTCAAACTCCTAATTCACACACAAGAAATCACAACACCAGGTTTGTGCATATGAATCAGATTGAAACGATAATGATATTAATTCACGAGGAGATCAGAGTCTAGACGAGAGAGAATGATTCTGAAAATCTGGGTGCATTGGTGCAAAATTGAATGCATTTTAAAACTGGCAAAATTTCATACGTGCAAACAGCCGAGGAAATACTTTTTTTTTAATTCCAACCGAAAACCAGGCCCAAGTTCTCCCTTAAAGCTCCCATACACAGAACCACTCGAATGCAATGATCGACAATGAAAGCTTTGAAATTTTGCGCGCTTCCGTAATCCCTGAAATGCCTCCATGCGTCCTACTTCCGGACAACATCAGAGAGCTTGTAATGAAATGTCAATATATCATGAGGATTCATAAAAATAGCACTGATGGATATTGTTTTCCTCGTTTTTTCTCTTCATTTTTCAGGAGTGATTCTGGAGAAAGATGAACCCGAGGCAGCAACTGCTGTGAAGTACCGCATGACCGAGTACAAGAACGCAGCTGCCAACCTTTCATTCGACTTGGAAGCCATCGTCGTTGTCATCGACACTGCCGACGCCTTCAAAATATCCCGGCAAAGTGAGAATCTTCCTTTTTTTTTAAAGTTCATGTGACAAGCCGTACGAGCCAAGTAAACAATAGTTGAACGTTCTTGGAAAGATAATTCGAGGTTTGATCGGGGAGGATGTCAACGGAAGACAAACTTTTCTGGCTGCAAAAAGCTTTTCGTTGTACAGTATCTGCTTGATATCCTGTCTTCTACTTGATGAAATCGAAATCCTTCGTAAATCTTGGAACTTAAAATACGCCAATATCCTGCCATATCTCAAATTATGTAAAATATAGCAGAACATCATATTTACAAAAATTTTCTACATTTCGAGATATCCAAACATTAATCGATGAATTTTGTTCCATTCAGCAGATTCTATTTCACAACTCATATTTAATGCTGGATTTGAATACACTTGAAAGACGCACCGTCGTGTGAAGTGAACGAAGTCGTTTTAGCTGGGAAGATTTATAAAAAAAAAACCTTCTCCATTCACAAGGTTTCGATAAAAGAAAAGTTAAGGAAACATTGCTGAAGCTAATTTATGAAAGATAAATAAAGGTCTTTCAGTGGGGTTTCACGACCACGGCGTCACGTATAAAGTCAACAATACTCAGCATGATTGTTTTTTAATACTGTAAATGTGGCCAAAATCACGTAGCTTTGTTCTGCAGAAGATATTTGCGTGTAATGGATTTCTCAGATCGACTTATATCTTCATTATTAATTCACGGAGATTATATTTTCAAATTCATTTTACAAAGTACTGCATGACTTTGACTGGTTTCTGTGTAGCTTTTTTGCCATATGATTTATTTTGTATATACAGCAGCGAAACGAAATTCTGGGTAAATTTCTGGTAAAAGATGTACAGTAATAGAAACTTAACTCATGGTTTGCCTCGACTCCATAAATCCTCATCACGTTTCCTGTATACTGAGTTGTTACTCAGGCATTTATGCTGAATAATGTTTGGTTTGAATGGGAATGATATGTTCCATCAAAAGTTACTAGAGAGGAGCCGTGAGAGTTGTCTCATAAATCCTGCTGATGTAACCTGAAAAAAAGAAAACATAATCCTTTCGGAATTATAAAAAAATTCAAGGATTCCCAAGTTTTGTCCTGGAGGATGACTTTTTGTTGGTTGTTGCTTAACTATTCGTTGTTTTGTTCTTTTACCACTATGGTAATTATCAAACTAGAGTATACCTGGACAGAAATTCTCACAAATCATCAATTTACTCCTTCGAGATACTCTAATTAAGCTCAATTTTTCTCTCTCCTGTCGAAAAAAAATAAGAAGTTCCACCCTCTTACGATTTGTACGGGTTATGGTTTGGTCCATGATTGACAAAAAATACGCATAAAAATCGTGGAGATCATCGGGATTCGTTGACCTAGAATGAGCCTCGCCAAAATGGAGTTTTGCGACGCTCATGTTAAAACAATTTTCTTCCCTATACGGACTTTCCAACACCGCAAATTCCAAATAAAAACGTCTCCACGAAGTAAAAAGGAAAAATATTGAATATTAAGCTACACAGTAAAAAGGAAAATGGAAAGTCCATTGTTTTCCGTCAAAATTTATTGGCCAGTTGTCTCCATCTTCCCCTAGTGGGCAAAAGTAATCTAAAGATACCTGGACAAGTCAAAAATATGGATGTATGTAGTCACACAGTGGGGGATATATGCACAGTAACCTACTCGACTCGAGCCGGTTTACGGCTAGCGCGGAAAGGCTTTATAATAGGTGGGGGGCTCCTCTACTTTCGTTTCTGCGAGGTTTGGAAAGAAAAGGGGAGAGAAAAAAAATCCGAGACTTCCATGTATATAGTTACACCTTGGGCACAATATCTCGTCTCAAGCTCTGTGTGATATCATCTTTTATTTCTATCTGTCCCTTTTCTCTTTCTTTGTGTCATGTTCTCTGCGTCGCTGCTGAAAGAGAGAATCTCATATCGCGTATGTTACATTATTCGCACACACTTTGGTCGTGGCCTGCGATATGCCCCTCGGCGGTATTTTTCCGCCACAGCAACTCCGAGATTTACGACATTCCATGTCGACGGAGTCGCGACGAGGAATTCATCCTTGTCCCGCTGGGGACATCTGACAATAAACTTGTTGCCAAAAGAGTGAGAAAAAAGAAATTAAGCCCTCACATTCCGCGAAGCTGCTGATGACAAAGTAGCAAATGCGGATAATGAAAACTGATGACATGTTGCTGCGTTTGACCCGCATTCGATAGAGCAATAATACGCTTTCAATGAAATGAACATAACAAGTACATGCTTCAGGTTTCCCATGAATATTGGCACAGAGCCCTAACATCACAAGGCGTCAGAGGACATCCATCGTGGGGGAAAATATAGGTTGAGAAGACATTCTTTTCCGACTAAAATAAAATGAGAACGAATGTATTACTCAGAAGATGGCTTTTATGGAGTCTTATTCTCCTGACTAACGTAACGTAAGTACTACCACGTTTATTTACTTTAATGGATGCTTTTCTAACTTCTGGCTTCACGTTTCTGTTTATGTTAGAGGCTTACGGTCCATGAGGATGTTTATTTTATACTGTGGACAGACAGACTCCTGATACAAGAAAAGCGACTCTCGACAACAGAAAAATCATTCAAACAGATGATAACAAGTGTTCTGGAATGGAAGACACAGTACTGCTTTCTAGATTACTAGGAAAATTCAAATAATTGCTTTCATACTTAAAGTTTTGAGAGATGGCTTTTTCTCGTGGTCAGGGTTACTTTTCAGCAAGGAAGAGGGTCTTGGTAAGAATGTTTCAAGGATGACTTGGAATATTTCACGACAAAATGAATTCTTTGCTCAAAAATTTATTATTTACTTTGCTAGATCAACTTGGAACTTACGTCAGTTAATGGAAATGAATCCCTTCGTAATCATGCTTGTAAAATTGATTTGTTTCAATAGTTCACACAAATCATTGCTACACTACAAAAATGAAAAAAAATATTCAAATGCATTGCTGACAGCGGGCAACTTTCATAAGTATCCTACTTTTTGCATGAACTAATCCTCAACATTTGGTTTAAATTTTTAAGTAAGCTGTGTGAAATTTACATAATGAGTCCAGTCTGTGTTGGTGAGAATATTTTTTAAGTTGTGGTTTTCTTTATAACAAATTATTTTTAAACGCGTATCAAATGCGTTTCTGCAATATAAATTATAATCAATACTATTCAGGCATAACTTGAGTTACACCTGAATGAATAGCTTGCTGTAACTAGAAGGCTTTTTGAAATGACCAGATGATATGCACAGGTGGAAGTCCCAAGTAGGCATAACATGGAAGGGCAAGCAATGCATAGCGCTTTTGGCTTGAAACGCATTTAAAACGCATTTAAAAATGCCTAGTTATTTTCTGGGAGGACTTATAATGTCGTGTTCATCAAGAAATACCTAGATTTAAAAATCAAGTCCAAGTTCAAAATAAAATATCTAAAGAAAATATCTAAAATGGCAAACCAATTGCTATTCCTGAGGTCTGTCAAGGTTGCAAAAAATTATTTAACAAAGTCAACCCTCACACATGTTGTCCGTTATTAAATAAACAACTTCTGATCAAATATATATAAAAGAATATATTTTATTCACAACCAAATTTGTTCAAGACAAATATAACAAAAACAGACAAGTCTTAAGAGAATCTTGTTAAACGTACACAAGGTTCTCTGAGAAGTAACCGCGGTCGACACAGGATTAAATCTGAGGAAAATATCGTTCCTCAGCAATATATATGCTTTTCAGGAATACAGGTCAACATCAAGGAATGCGGATCAACAACAAAGCATTCCGCATAATATTCATGAGGGGCGCGGACCTCATGAGGCGAAATATCCGCGAACATGATACACAACAATATTATATATATGCAAATCCGTTATATCGTATATACCTCTGAAATTCGTATTTCAGAGGTGCGGCGGCGCGGATATGTGCGCGGATAACATTCGTCACTGTCAAGAGTGAGGGGGAGTTTTATTAGTTAAAGAGGACAAAAGCGCGTCACGCTGTTTAACCTGGGGTGACGTGTGAAGAGAGATTTCAAAACAAGGGGAACAGCTGCAAGGAGAAAACCTTGTTTGCTTCCTCGAAGTAAGGTGCAATTTAAAAAGAGGTCTTGGAAACAAACCCGAGTATTTCCTGGATAACACACATTAGTTATTCAAGCTTGGGTCTAAAAATTCATTATTGCATCATCTCAAATTCTTTTGAGGATGGGGAAAATATGTTTCTTAAATTTCATTTTCTCATTTTACTGAGCTTGAAAAATAACTCATTGTTCCTCCCGGACTAAGGACTATTCTTAACACAAAGTACTGAGGTTTTTTTATGAACTCAGTTAAGTACGGTTTAAATAAACCGAAAGCTGTGATTTTTATGAGGTTTACTTGGGATAGCTTCTTTACGCTTATTCAAATAAATATCAGTTGATTAAATTTGCGAGAAGGTGTTCTCAGAGGAATGGAATATCGTCCTGATGTTCATTCCAGTGAAGTTACCATGGGCGTGTGAAGCGAAGTATGAAACTCGAAAATAGGGATTTCTTACGCGTTCATTTTATTTTTTATTTCAAAGAATTGGCGTGACTTGCATGAGATTTTCTGCACTGGATACTTGACAGCATGAAATATGTCGTAAAAGTTACATGCACGCCTTTGGGTCCAACATTAATCTTGGAAAAGTCCATGCTGTGCAGCTTTTTCTTCCAGCATTTATTCGACGAAATTATTCATCATTGGCTGAATTTGAGAGTTTAAAGTTTGATTCATCCAAAATGCAGGATTATATCGTTTTCCTTCTCTGAAAATTGGCAGGTAGACTAAAAATTGTCAAGAGATTCAATCGCAAATGAATTCAATTCGCAAATGAATTTATTTTAGCTCGTATATTTTAAGTGCTATTGGTTTTCAAAATCCAAAACTTAACGAAGTATCGCAATGAAGGGAATTTAAATTATCCTTTAAGATTTGCATTGCCATTTGGTAATTTCTTTTGAAGATTGTTCCATGTGTCAATTTTTGTCTTGGAAGCCTCTTATACAGTATATATACGACCATCGTCAGGTATTCTTTGAACCCCCAGCTTGTTATGTGATGGAATAATAGTTTGTAAATCATAATTTGTGTGATATAAAATATTTTCAAAACACCCCGAATTGATTATACAAAAGTTGATTTCCTTTCCTCAACCCCGGAGAAGTGTGCTTTCTTGCTGATGAACGTAGGCATGAATCAAATCATGACCAATAATTGAAACTTTCAAATTGAACCGAAATGATATTGGAATCTTAGAAATATTTCTAGTTTGGCAAGGGCTATGTTTTAGGATCCTGCATGCTTGAAATAATGTTAGAAGAGGAGCTTTCTTTCAGATGTATATCGTATAAATGATTGCATATAACCAGCCTCACAATGCATTCAAGTTTGTCGAAACTTGCAGCAAAATTTCAGGAGGACCTTCAGCAAATCGACTCTTCCCACGCTTCCTATGCGTGACGCCGGGAAAATTGCTGAAAGTTTCGAGCCAGCCTTCTCTATTTTTCTTTCCTCGACGGAGCCTCTTTATTTATTTTTTTCTCTCGTTAAAAGCAAATATAGTCCATATAATATGAGGGTGCATTGGGGAAAAGTCTGGGGCTCTTCCTGACCGGCGGGCATTAGTGTCAGAATCAGATTCATGCATCATTTTTCGCACCAACTAATCGTCTGCGCACGACAGCCTTGTTCCAGTCTGGTTCAATCCATGTCTTATCCTCTTTATATCCGCCTTCGCCCCGAGGCTTTAAAAGCCTGAAACCCCTCGCAGAGTATAGTTCACTTCACTCATTTTAGCTCTGCTGAGAAGAATCCAGTACGAGTCGAAAGGTTCAATTCGTGCAGACACAATTTAAAACTTCGACTTGATGTAGTGGCTGAATTTCATTCGAATGACATTTTTTCTGCGAGTGGCGAACTGAATTGAAGTCTTCTTACATTAAAAAATAATTTTCGAACAGCATGATATTGTGAATGTATTTTTCCCATCGTTTAAAAAAAAATTACCCTCGAGTTTGTGTTGAAAGCCGAATTCGGAATACGAAAGGTATTCAATAGATTTTTTGAAAGTTTACCTTGGTTTCATTAGCTCTAAAAATTTGCCAACTTTACTTCACTCCATACTGGGAATCTTCAAAGAATAGTTCTAAATTTTATTTTTTGAATTTGAGAATCATTAGCACCCGCATTTTTCCTGCTTTATGTAGTCGTTTTGAGATTCTGAATCAAATTGGGACTTTGAGAAAAGGTCCCATGTCAAAGATTTCGTTGATCATGAAACGAGGACATCGATCTCAACAGCATCTCACTTATTTTCAACCGATTTTCATGGCTTTTTGTTACACTATGTCCTGCTCGTGCTGAAACCTTATTGGGTATTTTGGAACTGTGATGCAACTATATTTTCATATTCGTGAAAGAAAAAACTGCATTTTCCCTTGAATTTTACTTCGTGATATTTTTCATCGATATTTTTGCAAGAAAAAATAAAGGAATTTGAATTCGGATGCAGGCAAGGTGATGCGGGATCCTCGACCCGGATAAAAGATCGTTTGCAAACTGAACACCGTTGTTTCTCTTATTTATTTCCCCAGAATGCAGGAATAACGGGAGAGAAAAATATAGGAACACAGTACAGAAAAATGATGACGAAAACGACGACGAAGAAAATTACCGGAAAATCATCATCTGCGCGTCTCATCATCCTTCCCCAAACAACGCGGGAATGTATTTCCGGGAGGGGTTGAAAAAAAAATTGCCCGAGCGATGAGGGAAAAGGGATCCCCCTTCAGGACGGAGAATGGGAGAAATATAGGAATGAAGAAAAATAAACACGAGGAAGAAAATATATAAAGGGGAATGATAGATCAAGAAGCGAACGAGGAGATGACAGGAATTCGCGGGGATCCCGGGGGCCAGGCTCGTTAGACCCGCATTCCAACCGCACTCAATCAATTCTTTCCCCCTTCAATGTTTATTTCTCGGGTTATCTATATTTTTTTTAGCTGGAAAACACAAAGGCTTGCTCGAAAGTTTCTCTCAAAAATGAAGAACTTCAAAGAGGAAGCCGTCAAATTGTTGACCAGCAACAGTATATCAGTCAAATGGTTTATGTCTGAGGGAATTTTACCTTGAATTCATTAACGATTCCAGAAGTTTCTTTCAGCGCTCAGTTATACTTTTAACTTTCTCCCACAAGATATAAAACTTGAATCAGAATAATCCTACCGAATGATTTTCGATCATTTATGTCCATCACGTAGAAAATACTATGAAAGGATAGCAACACATACAATTTTATCTTCAACTGACTTTATGGCAGCAAGAATATTTTCATGTTTATACATGCTTGATATTAGATTGGATAATTTCCAGCGATTTTTCTCTATTTTATGAGATTGAATTTTAAATTTTCTTTTTTTCATGCAACACGTTCGACTATAATGAAATAAATACTGCATTCTTGTCAAATTGAAGTGTTAATCAAGAAAAACAATAGTCCTTCTGATTTCCATCCTACTCATCACTAAATTAATTGAGTGCAAGACACACAAGAGTATTTCAACGCTCGCAGCACGTAGCAACCCTCGAGACAGCAAAGGATCAAGGATCCCTAGTGCGATCAACAGACGAAAAAAGAAGAACTTCTCACAGGATCCAGGTTCTCCGGATGTATGAAAAACGTACATTATTACTCATGGGAGTGTAATTCATTCCGCTGACGTCGTTCAAGTCGAATGAGTTGCAGCGAATCACTTCGTTCCATGAAAAATGTGTGACAAATTTCGAATCCTTATTTATTTTTAGAGATCCGGGGTCAGGACGAATGCTTTCATGTCCTCATGATAATTTTATCAAGTGTGTTCTTTTATATGCGTGATCAACAAACCGTCGGGAATTTATCTTGTGTACTGATTCGTTACACTTTTCTCCCTTATTTGCCAAATTTTTGATTGCGGATTTAGAAAAGGATTCCTTCATGCAAGATTAATATTATATTCATATTAACTGAAATATGAAATATACACTTCTTTTATACATATAGAACAAATCTGATGGAAAAACCGGGAGCTTCTCCAATTGGATCGCGTCTCGAATTTGATTGTGTCCTGGGTTTGAAAGTGAAGTTCAGGATTAATTTTCAGCAAAAAAGTATCTGATGTAAAATTTATCTATGCTCAATTTTAAAAAGTTCAGGATAATATCAGTGCCGTCTTGCTGATAACTGAAGCACGCCGAAAATGATAACAGCTGTCTAAATTTAATAAAATCAAATCCTTTAAATGTGGATTCTATAGCATTTCGCCGGCGAGATAGGATTTGTTTTTCAGGCATAAAACATGAATGTACTTCTTCTGTAGTTCAAGTAATATTTTTATTTTTAGCAAGTACAGTAAACCGTAACATCCGTTGGAATCGAGAATTCCTACCCAGAGATTCGTTTTGCCCGAGTCCTGAAATAAATGCGGTCCCGAACGTTCGCATACGTTTTCTGTAAATCGACTGCTTCACATTAAATTCAATGTCTGATTAAAAAGGGGAAGACCCGGATATTGAGTCATTATCATCAACGTTAGCGTGTATCGAATCCGTGAACGGAATAAAAAAAAGCAAAACCCATCGACCTTAATTTCGCTTTTCATCCCATTCGATGCACAGGAAACCGGAAGGAAGCGAGCGAGAAAAAAAAATGTAAGGGAAGCGACAAGAAGAAGGGGGAATCGAATTAAACTGAGCAAGAAGGCGACGGACAAAAGAAGGAAACCTTGGGTTCCAAGTTAGGAAAATAAGAAGAAGAAAAAAACCCCTCCTTCATTGGCAGCGACGGGTGAAAAAATAAAAAAGGAAATCGCACGGAATGAATCGGCGCCACGCCGCGTGCATTCGAACCCATCCACTCGGAATGAAACTACGAAATCGAGTGCAAACCCGGGAAACCCTCCGGGGTTCCAGTCGTCTCGAACCGGAATTGAAGTTTTCTTCCTTTTTTTCCCATGCTTCCATTATGTTCCCTATACTACTTCAATTTGTTTTTTTTTATATCGACGTGGCCTTTCACTGCAGTCTAGAATTTTGTGATGCATTTGCGGAAAACCGCTTCGCAGAAATTCTGCATGTTAAGAAACGACCAACGGATTTGTTTGGCTCGAAACACAGTCACTGTACATATACAGCAGTTGATGCCAAAATGAGTTTTTTCTAATTATATAGCCGAGTACAAGTACGGTATATGAAAATGCAACCTTCGCATGCCACTCAGAAAACCATCTCAGATCAGTAAATTATATCAACCCATAAGACACTTGCAGCAATGAAACTTTGAAAATTAAGTTATTCTACATTAAGTGCTCGATCTGCTAAAATTTCGTAAAAATAATGCCTCACATTCTACGAAGGTCATTATTGCTTAAATCCCAGCCTCAAATCTGATATCAGATCAGCAGTGCAGAATTTTTTTTTCAATTAGTCTCATCATAA